AAAAACATGATCGACTTTTAATTTAATTAAGAATTTAACAAGGAATTTAATTATCAAATTTTCCAGCAAAATGAAGCTTTACTTATTGAATCATTTTTCTCAAATTGGGTTAATTTTATCAAAAAATTGTTCTTGATTTTCAAAGAGTTTTAAGACAATATGTTTTTTCTTAATTAAAAAAATTATTTTTTTTTACTTGTGTTCACTTTTTTTAGTCACTCTTTTTCAACTTTCTATTGGCTATGTTCAATTATTTTCAAATTATTTCTATAAAGAGTCAGTTAATCCAATTATAATGTATTATGATCAGTTTTTATTTTTTCATCGCTGTCGTACTCTTTTCTTTTGAATCATTTTAAACCTAACTTAGTTACTTTTCTATCTCATGCATATTCACATTTTGTTTAAATTCAATCGCAGTTTTTTTTTAATAAGTTACCATTTTTAAATAATTCCAAGCCCCTCAAAAAACAGTTTGGCGGTTTGGTCTGTACATATTTTGCCTCGTGAGACGACAATTCGTAATAAGCGAGAATTCGTAACAATCGACAATTCGTAACAAGCGACAGTTCATAGCAGTAGATTGAGCGGGGAACACCAATTCACGCGCAGTCAGGGTTACCGACTGGTCTCTATTATAGTGACCGGTCACTATAAGTCTCTAAGAACTCTCTACTTTTGTACTGGTCACTATTTTTTTTAATAGTCAAGAGTACATCCTCCTTGAACTATTTTGAGATATCCATTTTTGGCTGACAGACCCCAAAAAAAATTTCAAAAGCGCCCCTAGCGCCAATTTATACTAGTTTTGACGGGAGAGCGCGCGCCGAAAAAACGAATTTTTGGCCTGCTTTTTCAAAATTTTGCCCGCGAAGCAGAAAAATTGGCAAAAACTGGGTGTTTTTAGTGGTTTGGAAGAGCTCGACAAAAAAAGGTCGACAAAATTTCCGAATTGTTTTTTTTTTAAACCCTACTCCCTCACCCCACCCCCGAGAAAATCCTAGATCCGCCCCTGAAAACAGTGTTTTACATAATTTTTTTGCCAATATGAAAAAAGGTGCGTTTTGGCCCAGCCACCTGCTATTATTGTTTTGATTGAAATCTAGTTTAATTTTTGTCGCATGTGCTCAATTTTACCCTAAATTTACCTATGGAGCCAAAATTTTTCCATGCAAAGCAATTATAACTTCAAAAAATAAAGGATTCTTGTACATTTTCAACTTTTTTACACAAGCAAAAGCTTGTGTTATATTTCGAATTCATGTTTCTTCTTTGCTAAAGCGCTCATCTTTGTGATCAACATTTGTGTTGAGTTGAATTATATCTGTATAGCGCTCCATGTATTCAGTGCAGAAATTTTGGTAACCCTGCGCGCAGTACTCTTCTCGTGCCGGACGTAAGCGCAGAGTAGCGAAGCGGAGCAAGCGTATTCTACTCGCCAATGCCTTACACGAATTATCGCTTGTAACGAATTGTCGCCTGTTACGAATTGTCGCTTGCTACGAATGTCGCCCTACCATTTTGTCTCACTCTCCATGACAGCGACGACCTTTAAAGCGTGTATCGGCGCTAGCGTATACAAGCTTCCCACACAATTGCGCTTTTTTTCTTCATTTTTCATTCTTAGCGTAAAAGCACCTTTTATGATCAAATTCTCATTGCCACCAAGATCACACCCTCAGATCATTCTGTTAGTACCGAGCACAAATGCTCCATCTGTTTTTTGTTGTTAATGTATTACTCTTTTACAATTGCTCGCTTCAACTATTTCCAGTAATGTCATCTTTCGACTTTTCTGCAACAAAAAATTTTTGTTCTTTTTTTGCCACGGGATATAGTTAGCTTTAGTTTTCAAGGGTTTTTCTTCTTAAGCTATAACAAGTTTTACAAAAATTCGTCTCAGTTGTCGCGAGATATAAGTGGTTTAAGTGCTTGAGAAGTCCAAGATAAATGAAACGCTCGTTTCTAGCCTATAAATGAAACGCTCGCAACTGGTTAGCTTTTAGTGTAGATACAATTTCACACAGGTTTTTACAAAATAGAGCAACACATGCTAAATGTAATGGCAGATAAACTTTTTTCTATCGTTCATTATAAAGATGAAATGATTGCAACGCTGCACAACCTCGGATTTGATTTTAATTTTTTTAATTTAATTTTTGACTCTTTTCCTTTTCCCGCCACCTGCAAACTTTCAAAATGAAAATGATTGTATATGCTGTCCGATTGTTATGAAATTTGACATGCGAACTAATTGGTCAATGACAACACATTTGATCCGCATATTTGACCATGTAAAATCACTCGTAACACTATGTAACTCATACTCGTAGGAAGTGAAGGGCGAAGAGCCAATTTGTCTGGTATAAAGCAAATTTCAGTTTTGCAATTTTCATGAATTGAAATTTTCGTTTTTATTAGAGCTTAAAAGTTTTATTGGAAACATTTTTTGGTACCGAGGCTTAGACTTTTTTAGTCTCAGTTTAAGTTTCTTCTCATATGATGCTAACGCTCACAGGAAGACTGTTCCTTTAACTTGTTTTCATTTCTTTTACTAATTGTCACCAAATTTTTGAGTCTTTAGAAATCAATCAAAATTTGCATTCACAAACATAAAAATATTAATCTATTGGTTGTGCTGCCAGACACTTCGGAAAACGTTTAAGTTGCAATTAAAAAGAATTATAAACTATGTCTTGAAGCTAAAAACTGATTATCGATCCTGTTATCAACGATTATCAACAATTTTTCAACCCATTTTCAGGACCATCAAGTTTCGGAAGAGAAAACCAAAAATTTGGAATGGGATAATTATCGAGTATTAAGTGCGTCAAATTGCTTATTTTTTCTATTTTTGAAACATCCTAGATCTTTCTTGTCTTTTTATGTTATTCTTCCTAGCTTGCTAGTGTTTAATGGAGCCATGTTATTTAAGCAATTTTAAAAAAGAGTAGTCTTTTTGCACTATAGCACTTGACCCATGTTTAGTCAAGCAAACATACATTTTTCTGAAGGAGGCAATATAATTTGAGGGAGCGCGCGACAAAATACGCGAGTTTTTTGTTTAAAATTTCCAGAAATCACTATAAGGTCAATTGCAAACCGTTTTTTTTTAATCTGCAGAGCGGAAATATCTGGCAAACTAGAGTCTATAAAGGGTTTTCGGGAGGTCAAAATGTCAATTTGATTGAAAAACAAAAAAACCTCATGATCATTTCCAAATTTTTTTCGAGGAACCGCCGTCAAATTCCTCCGCAAAATACTGCCTCTTACAAACGCTTGTTACCAAAGTTTTATATTTTTTCAAAGTAAAAGAAGACCTCTCGTCTTTGGAAAGCCGCAAATGATCCAACTGCATTTAACCGTTTCAAATAGCTTTTGATATAAAAAAAAAGACTTTTATAAAATAAAGTTTGTGACTTCTAGTATCAAATATTAAACTCTTAATATTAAGTCGATTAGAGAAATAATATGACCAATTAGCTTGCTTTAATTCAATTTGGAACAATTTTGTGTGTAGTGTAGTGCGCCATGCATAATTCGAAGAAGGTGACGGAATATGATTGTTTTTCACAGTTATGGGGGTCTACAGATTGTCAAAAATGGCCAAAATGGGACCATTACCGCGCGAGATATTTCGCGCTATTAACGCGTAAGCAATGATTCAATCCGTCTTAAGAGTTTTTCTAAAGTGGTTGAAGCAGGCTAATTGAAATAAATGCTAGGTTACCTCGAGCAAACTTGATCACTTCGTTTGGTATACGGCGTGCGGGGGATAACTTTGTGAGCAAATACTGCTCCATGGACCTTAAAAGGCAGTCGGAGCATTCAGGTCTTCTCCCTGATACGAGCTGTTTTGTTTGCTCTATACTTTTTGAGCAACATATGTTAACCTTCGAAGGGCGCCAATTTAGTCCAGATCATGGCCAAATTGGCAGTTTTATTCCGACAGAACTTAATCAAAGGATGGCTGGTAAAAATGACTTTTTTATTTGAATATCTTCCTTTGGGCATAAAAATTGTTCCACCCAAGCATTTATGTTCCGTCACTTTCTTCCAAGGTCGGAACAATTCATCAGGTTGGTTGCTTTTGTTGTAGTCAACCCCATTTTAAAGTGAAAGTCAGTTCGGTGTAGACTAGAACCGTATATAGATAAAATGCTAATTTTTGCATTTTTTGCTCTATTTAAGTCGACCCAGGTACTTGCACCCAACGGAACTTGGCGCCGATTTCGGTGGATACTTTTTATTTAAAAATTCAAATAAGTTAATGACGAGGTCGAGTAAAAATTAAGTTCATTTTTCACGGAAGCAAGTTCTTAATTACAGTTTGAGCAGGGGCGGACTCCCCCTCTCTCAGGGATTCGACCGCCTGCCGACCCAAAGGGTCCCCCCTTTGGTACTTTTTAAGAAATCCAGTTTTGGCCGACCAACCCTAAAATTTTTCTAAAGGCGCCTTTGGCGCCAATATATACAAATTTTGAGGGGGGAGCGCGCGCCGAAAAAACGCGACTTTTTGGTCAAAATTTTTCAAAAAATTCTTAAAAACGCCTTTTTTTGGCTTGTTTTTTAAATTTTTGCCTGCGGCCCAGAAAATTTTACCAAGACAGGGTCTTTTTAGTGCTTTGGGGGAGCTCGGAAAATTCAATTCGGTCGACCTAAAAATAAAAGGTCGACAAAATTGGTACTTTTTAAGAAATCCAGTTTTGGCCGACCAACCCTAAAATTTTTCTAAAGGCGCCTTTGGCGCCAATATATACAAATTTTGACTGGGGAGCGCGCGCCGAAAAAACGCGACTTTTTGGTCAAAATTTTTCAAAAAATTCTTAAAAACGCCTTTTTTTGGCTTGTTTTTTAAATTTTTGCCTGCGGCCCAGAAAATTTTACCAAGACAGGGTCTTTTTAGTGCTTTGGGGGAGCTCGGAAAATTCAATTCGGTCGACCTAAAAATAAAAGGTCGACAAAATTTTCGACATTTTTTTGAAAATCCGCCCCCCCCCCCCCCTCGAGAAAATCCTAGATCCGCCCCTGAGTTTGAGTACATATTTTACATACATAAAAATCAAAATCAAGTTTTGCCAAAATTTTCCGTGGAATATGTTAGTGCTGAACTTCCAGGCATATTGCATTGTTCTGTTCTTGTTGGTCTCTCGATCTAGAGGAAGCACTCAGTGATAAAGAAGGTTTGCGTCTGCTGAATTTCGTCTCTGCCTCGTCCAGTTGCTTCTGCAGGAGTTGCTAAATATCATTTTTTTGGTGCAAAAATTTTATCGGAATACTTCAAACAGTAGCCTGTTTTGAAATTTCTTATCATAGAAAATTGGTTGCTCAAAAGTTTGATCAATTTGAACGACGAACTTAACGGCCTTCAGGTGATAATTAAGCAGTTTGTCAAAAGTACAAAATAACAAGATATGGCGACTACTTGTCTCAAATTATGAGCCTTTTGCAACGTTTTTTTAAAGAACACCACGTTTCCTCAGAGCTCTGAATTTCCAAATAAGTGAAAAGAGCACCTTAGCTTCTGTTGCTGACGTGCACTTTTTGCTTAGTCCTGGCGTTGTAGGCTTCGGGGTGGAACAGTCATATCCGTCAAATATGGATTTCCTTGAGCTGCATGACACATCGATCAGCTCCAAATCCAAATGGCTCTAACAAACAGGCAGAT